CTATAAGTGTTTCCCAATATGGCTTATTTCCGCTAGCTGTTTACCATCATATTTAATTGATACGAAGCTTTACTAGGCGTAGGCCACATTAGAAAAGATAACGATTTCTTATCCCTGACATCTGATAAAAAAAACAAATCGCTGTTGTCTCCTTACACACACACATACACACTCAAATACAATGACGCTTACAGATCATTTAAACACTGAGAACATCATGATTTCACAACTGTTATTCCATTATTGGTCTCAATTTTCAGTACAAAATGATTTTCTTCTTATGCTTGCCAAGTCTATTAGTCAATAGACAGTTAAAAAAAACTTCTCATATTTCAATCTCTAGGCAGAGAGTAAAACAAGTGTTTGTTAATTAATAACTGTTATAGAACAGCATCTCTATTCAATATAACACGTATCAGGACCTATCTGCCTAAGAACCATGACTGCAACATAACGAATTGTTTCAAAGTTAATCACTTTCTAGAACAGAAAAGTCACTTTCATGTTTTGTCAAATTGGTGTGATATTACGGCTGTTTTATAGGTTGCTAATTTTTAAGTTTACCAGTGTTTTTTACTATTCATAAATGCAGTTCTGTATTTCGTCGTCTTCTTAACGGTGAAAAGAATATAAGCTTGAATGAAGCTAACTGAAACCAACACACCGCGTGTACAGTTCTGTTTGACTGATTAGATGGTAATTAATTCTGGATCACTGTACGTCTTAGTTTAACTCTTATCACTCTGTATGAGGACCTTCAAGAAGAGTTATCCTATATAGCCACTTCACCAGTCACTGAGTTTATACCTTCAGGTGACTTGAACTGACTTATATAAAAGTAAATACATCCCACTGTATGATCTGTTCATTGATGCGTAGGTGTACAAGTGTGAAATTCTAACATGTGTCGTTGACAGACTATGTGGCAAAGATTTAGATCAAAACTCGATGACAGTGAGTTCGGAGTACTTTTTATTGAGTACTGGTATGAAAGTGGTTTAAAGTGCACTTCAAATTGAAACACCCCTTATTTTTGAAAAAAACTACAGCGTATTGAACATCGGGTTAGTTTGGCTGATAAATGATCAGTACTCTGAGTTGGATATTAAAAGATATTTTCTGAGCAATGTATGATGCAAAAGTTTGGAAAGCATTTTAAGAATCCTGGGTCAAGTATTCGGAAGTAGTCTTGAAATAGCTATAATTTTGAGGTTATGCAATTTCAAGCAAACAACTTTCTAAGTAACTATTTCTTTCGTGACTAGGGAAGTTTTCTCAATACCTACTACTCACAAGCTTCTAAATGCAATTCTCAAAGTTACATTTGAAATTCATGATGTTTTTGCGTCATCCTATTGGGTCTTGAGAATGATTACTCCCCAATGATACTGACTGATAATCGCTTTCTCATCAGGGTTTGGAAAACGTGATTCATCGTGTTCCAACCTACTGCCTGAAAGAAAATATACTCACCAGTGGATCTAGTGATCTTTCATCGTAATCTCACTGAATTGGTGTTGAAATACTACGAATTTCAATCGAATAAATCAGAAGTGAGAACGAATTGAACTGTATCTCAATAAGTACTGGGACCGAAACAGGGTTGGTAGTGTACATGCTTAATTAATTAACTGTTGTTTTTTTCTGCAACATCTCTCTCTAACTGAAGCCCATACGACAAAATATTTCTTTGGAAAGTCATATGACACTTCATGTTGTCACTAAGACGTAGGCTGACTAAAATGTCATTTATGATAGTTTCAAGGACTTTATTGTTTCGATTCCTATCCATTTTCTAAAGCAAATTATCCACCTTATACACTTTATATGTCTAGGACAAAGACATGATAACAGTTTAGTGATGATGAGGAATAACTTATGCACAAAACATCGTACGTAAGAAAATAATAAACCATTTTCTTATGTCAAATAAATGTTATTCAATACAGAATTACAGACAACCTCAATTCCCTGATTCTAATCTTATAATAGTGGTATAATTCTGGTAGATTGCACTTAAATTGCTTTCACATAGTTGAATTATTTCATCAAAATCAGAAATCAGTTGCCTCTATTCATCACCGCCATTTTTTATTTACATGGTTAGAAATTAACCTTCACAGATTTTTGTTCTCGGGCTATATACTTTTTTCTCTTAGTACAAAACGTGGCGTATAATTGATTAAAAACTAGAAAGTCCCTGAAAGCATAATACGGCTAAATGGGGGGGCTTGTATTTAGTAAGGGAAACTCACCATAGAAAGTATTACGGAAATTTATTTTTAAACGCTATGTCTGAGCTTACAGTAGTAACTTATATTCACTCCCAATAGTAATGTATCTCCTATAAACAATTTGAGAATTTTCCTTGTGCGAACCTGACAGACGCAAAGGTCGACCACTAATTATTCGTACTTGTAATGTACCCACGAATAAGAGACCAAGGAAGAACACAAAAGCGTAGTCAGATGGGATAGTATATTTGCGAGGTCATGCCAAAATGCTGATGCGTTCCAGCTAGTTGGCTAGAGAGTTGATTACGAGCAGTGTAACGTAACATGACAGCGTACCAAATACGTGGATGTTTGACTGTGTGCCTTCAGCTTAGCGAGTCCGATAAAACTGTGAAGGTCAGCATCAATGTTGAATCTCGTCAAAGCCTAGGCTATTGATTCCAGAGAAGTATATGACGCTACAACAACTTATTTCTTGATGAATATACTTTCATATCAGTTATTTCTCATTTACCTACAGAATTATCGATACAGCAACGACAAATAATATATGCGTGGACTGTTGAAAGGAAGAATGATGAGTGTCTGTGCGATTTCTCAAGAATTATAGGAAGTGCTTAAATTAAAGATTTGTCGCCAACTTTGTACTCAACAGTTGCTTATTGCTAGCTTTGGCATTATAGAACAATTCATTATATTATGATCGATTTTTTTAACTCAGTCTATCAGACAGTTATACTTGTGATCATGTGAATTCCTGGGACACTGCTTATAAAATCACTCTAAATGAGTGTTTGGAAAATTCACCCGCGTTTTACTACAGTAAGCTAACTAACCTATTTATGCTATAAGTGCAGATGGGACGAACAATCAAAATCATTTCAACATGCGAAACGAATCTTCCTCTTCGACAGAGGCTACAAGGATGATGATCTTCGTTTGAGAACCATACCACCTAACTCACAAGAATTACAGACTCTCGTTTAACGGAGAACAAGTTTTATAAACATTATGAAAAGCAGAATGTTGCTGAATATACTTAAATGAGATGTGGAACATTTCAGTACTGAATAATGAGTGCAACTGACGTTATTTCTAAGTGTAATACAACCATGTGGAATAGGGCCAATGTGAACAGAGTTGTGAAGCAAACTTTTATTCAGCTCTTTAAGATTCATAAAACCCGTGTGAGTATCTAAATTTAAGTCCATATTCGCACTGCGAATGTAAAACCTGTCAAATTATATGGTGAACGAAAATGTCACTACTTAAAGAAGTTAATGAAGGAAAAAGAAACTTCAGCCCAGTTGCACGCAAACAGTAAAAGGAATTTCATATTTGAAATCCATTCAAAACATGAAAAGGCTACTGAGTATTTGCTGACGAAGAAAAATGTAAATGATGTCTACAATTAGTGGAGCATTTTTCCTCAATCCATAAAAATTGTCATTAAATTATGTTTTTAAAAAACTATTAACCATCCAAACTATGAAGCATCCTTCAAAAACTACTTTCCCTTTTCCCTCAACCCAACCAAACGGTAGTGATTAAAATTTAACCTAGAAATGTGAGAACAAAATATAATATAAAAAACATTTTGAAATACTTCACTGTTAGGGGGACATATTAGTGCTAAGAGTTGTATAATGATAAACTGCTCTCACTTCTTTTTAGTTTAAACTTGTTAGTTGCTTATCGTTCCTCTAGTATCTCTATATTAGTGTTTCCACCTCCAAAAAGTATACAAAACAATTTGTATTCAGGTGAATAGAAGTTAGGCTTGATTATGAAAACTTTAGTTAGCTTAACAACGCATTCAGTTTAAGCAAGTGAAAATCTCAAGCTGTTGACTTCTTTACAGTAGATGTCAGTTGGTTGGAAAGATCTACAAAAAGCCCTGGACTTAGGTTCTGTGCTTGTTGGCACTCATCAGCAAGGCATATGTGCAGCCTTGAGAGGAGTGATGTCCCACCTGAAACTTGGACCTGCGTCACCCAGTGTTGTAGTCAGCGACGTTACCATTGAGCTACTCGGGCGGCACCTCACCTCCTATAAGACTAGCTTACATACACTCATTGCAAATATGGTCGATAGGATTCGGATTGCACTCATGACTAGACAATATGAAATCAATTGTTCTCCCTCCACCAATCTACATATTTTTTCACGGTATTTTATTTATCAAACCCCTGGATAGATTATGATAGCCCTTCATTCATAATCCTTCTTTTTAAGCTCCCCTTATTTCACTTCAGTGAAACAGAGTTTTTCAAACAAATATTGGTTACAACTAAAAATGGCACCTGAGTTTCAGTTTTTTTAAAGGGAAAACGATTAGATGAAAAACTACTTTTCAGCAGATGTATTCACATCACAGCCGTGCGTATATATTAGATTCCACCAGAATGACTTTCGTCAGCAAATCTTGAACAACTGTTTGCTGTTCTCCGAGCTTCAGTGTTTGTTATTTGATGTTTCATTACTATACTTGGCGGCTTAACTAGCATTTACTCTTTTATCATCATTCTGAGTTACAAATCTTCCCCACTATCTCAAAATCAGGAATAGTCTAGAATAGTCCTTGAATACTCTGTGATCAAACTTACAAGCGAAGTGATAGGATTATTTTATTTCAAACACGCTCAGATCTATGTCAATATTACCTACGTCTAGTCTGATATTCTGTTTATCATTTATGCGTACAACCCTATAAACCCAACCAAATACTTACAGCATAATCAATCTTAGACAAAAGAATTCATAATCACATAAAATGTTATTTTCGTGGACATCATTTGTTACTTTTATTTATGAATTATTTCCCTTTTCAAGAAGAAGAACAAACGAATAATTTTAACGTTAACTGAAGAGAAATAGACATAAATCAATCATGCAACATCACAATTACATCCTTTTCATTACTCTACATCTATTCTTTTTAGTGATTGTTAACGTCAACAATACTGCTGTACTGCTACCAACATTTCAAAATGTTTTAACAAGTTCAGTTAAGTTTTTTGTCCATCTTTAATTTACATAGTTTATACTGTACTTATATATATATGTTGAAAAATTATGAATACTTGGTTCAATGTTCATTTTTTTTTGAAAAAATCATACAGAATTTAAGCTCTATGATCAAAATAACAGCTGATATTTATAAGACTATCGCATAGGCAATAATAACAAGTAGAAGGCGTAAAAAAGAATGATGAAAGCAGCTAGTTTTGTTTGAAAGAGGAGATGAAGAAAAAGAAAAAAATATATTTCGTAATAATAATTTCTGGTGATAATTTTTTTCATTTAGAAAAACGAAATCAAATGATGTAATAACATGTGGGTATACATGAGTAGTTGTTTTGAATACCTTGACTGTTATGTTGCCTGTTTATTTGTCTGCTTTAAAGATGATATGTAAGTGTGCTGGAACACTTGCTTCTACCTAGGTGGAATGTATAGAAAGCATAAGGGAAACATCATTTTCTCATATCTGTGAAGATAGCGAACCTTTCCTTTTGGTGTTTAAATTAAATATTGTGAAAAGAAATGGTTCATAAACACTTAATTCACTTAGAACTTACTTCTTCAAATTGAAGTAGTGAAGACAGCGTATGACAAAAAAGTAATTATTAGTCAGCAGGTGTTTATTTTTCCATTTTTTATTTAAATATACTGTAAACAAAAGTTTTTGTCAGCAGTGTTCCCCTTCTTCTTATTCTCAGGATCAACATTACCACCAATAGCAGTATCATCCTCATCATCATAAACATCAAGATTCTTTATATTTTCAGGTCGTTTAAAATGTGCAATAAAAATGTATATGTCACCATCATCAGCAATGCGATTACCACTTTCTGGATCTGTTGTTACATAACGGAAATCCATAGCCCATATATCATTTACGTTCATATTCTTACTTAATTTAGCAAATGTTTCATCTTTCTCCTTTAGTTCATTGAATCTGATCTTCAAGCTACTTGTGTCACTATTATCCTTATCATCATTGAAGACTAACTGAGGCTGTGGTTCAATTGTTACCAATGATGGGCTTACTGCTTCTAAGTGATTCGTGGTATTGCAACTTTCTAAGGGCGGTTCCCATGATTCAGCTTTAGATTTAATTACTGTAGGCACTACTGAATCTTCATGGTTCTCGTAATGATTATGTATGATCACTTCATTTGTCGGATCAGTGTTCTTGTGAAGTAAATGGTCGGCATTTTGTTGAATATCTTCTAAACTACTTGCTCGTAGATTAGCAGCTGAAGCTCTAGTTATATTATCATTCTCAGTTATCCCTGTATTCCCATTATTTTCATCCTGACGAGCATCTGAATTTCCATCTAGATATGTATTATTTTGAGAAAGGTGTTCAGTTGACAAATTTAGACTGGAGTGTGATGAATAAACAGCTGGTGTTGGCAAAGTTGTATCATCTTCATTCAACACGTAATCAGAATGACTTCTTGCTTTATCAATCAGTGTTGTAATATCCTTGTAGTGGGATTCAGGTAACTTGAAGAAATCATAATACCTTGACTTTTGTTCACGATCAATACAGCCTAGTATAAGTATGGTAGGGTCATTATCAAACACATAATAATGCTCAATATCTTTATAAGCATAAAATTTTCTTGGTGCAGGTGTTCCAAACTTTGAAGTACGTTTTAGTCGTATTCCGTCAGGTTCACATAGAATCTTGAAATGTGCTAATGATTTATGAGATTTCAATGATATCAACAAGGTATGAACTTGATTATGATTGAACTCATCACCAGATGTGATAATTTTGCGAGATATCAAATCTCCTGTCGACTCAAAATATCTTAAGCGTTTACGGCGTCCACAAGACTTTATTTTACTTGTAGAAGGCATCCCATAAAATAAACAAGGCTGTCAACAGCACCAAGTAAAACGTCAAGTAATAAATAATTCACAATCTTTGTGAGAGATCGAAATTTTTAAAGTGCTTGCTTTTATCAGATGAAGTGACTGAACATGAATAGAATCACTTTGACGGTATAGAAGAGTGTTCTTCTGGCGTTAAATGATTCCCAGTAGGCTATACATCAGAACTGATGGAATTACAGCCATCAATAAATATTTGTTTATAGTCAAGCTCTAATAAATTATTGAGAACGGTGTAGAACATATTTAAGAATTATTCTTACAACTAACAATTACCTTATTGGTTGTTTCAGTTATAGTGAAGTGCACGCAATATCATAATGTGATGAATGAAATAGCAAATAACCAATGAAAAATAATTCTTGTGGGACTAGTTCTAGATTAGTATTGGATTTGTTCATCAAATCACCATAGTCTCAATGAATCTTTGAATTTTTGGTAAACCATCAAATCAATACTGACTGTATGTTCTTTCTAATTACTATGAGAGTGGCCTAAAGACGAAGCAATAGAATAGTTAAACTGCTTTGTACAAACCGGTCACAACCAAAGAGGTTAGGAATGTGAGTTAAGCTCAAATTAATGTTGGTATAACTCACCCATCCTCCTTGATAAACTCATTAACTCAGAAATGGTCGACGCCACCGTACGCAGTCAGCTAGATAAAATTGAAGTTTTTCATTTTGGATAAAGCAAGAAGGGCGAAATTAGAGTAATCGAATGATATCAAGCGAACAGATACAAGAAAAAAAGGGGCACTGAAAAAGAGATTTGGTCCAGCTAAACTTGCATCAGTATACAATACTACATGTTCAATAAAATATCAGTCGGAATGGGGTAATTACCATGACCTTACAACTTTCAACTTGCGATATCAAATACATTAGAAGGACTGAGAGGAGGCTATCCACGCGATCTACTGAGTAAATCTCCAAGAATCTCTGCTCCGTTTGAGACAGCGTGTTTTTTTAAAATAATAAACATACAGTAGATGTCTCGATTACCACGCCTTGCCAAAGCTATTGCTATAAAACGCTTTCCGCCTGAGCTTTGCATGCAGAAGGACAGTGTGGTTAATCTCTCACTTCCTTGGTGACTGTGATTTGGTCCTTTTTCATTTTAAATACATAACTTTTTGTTTTTTTGTTTTTTTCATATTACTTACCCCTCTAAAATTTATTCTCTTACAAGCTATACAGATTACCGATGGTTTCGTAGTACAACTTAAGATTGCTGATTTCCCAGTTTTGAAATATCTTATGTCCAAGTGACTACTGCAGTTTTAGACTGTGTGCATCTGAGGAGTATTCGTGGGACAAAATGATATCGTTTTATTCCTCATATCTCGTCCTACTCGCTTGTCCAAAATTAATCAAGGTGTCTAAATACACGGATTTCATAATTCCTCTCATAGGGACTGTCAGAACAGCATTTCCTTGATATTGCATTGAATCATATGTAAAGTCTTATCAAGTGATGTTCTGATTCATCAAAAAAATTTGGTGACTTATACCGTTAACCAAAGTTCACTCACTGACGTATCTGTGTCAAGATGAACCGGAAAAATTTCAGTTGTAACTTATATGACTTATTGAGACAGGATTCAGAACAAGAAGTCTTTGATAATATAATCTTATTGTTGTAGTATGAGTTCAGAAAATTTGAAGATGCAAGCCTTGGTCGGATGCTAATACGCCTGTCTTGAAATATAAGTCCCTTCTAATTGATAACCATTTTACGATGGCTATACAATAATCGCACTTACGAAGCCATAAGGAAAACTGTAGCTGCGAATATTTTAGTTTTAATGTGAACCTACTGATACTGTAGAATGAAACTGTATGAGTATGGTGCGATTTTATCTTAGTAGCAGAGATATCTTGAGACGAAGAGACGCTACGTTTTATAATCAACCAGTTGTAGGAACGTACGGTTATGCAGCAATCTATTACCTCCTTATTTGTCTTCTGAATTTCTGTCTCCTTTTATACTAGAAGTAGACATAATTTCACCAAACTGGCGTCTTGTATAAAATAATCTTCCAAACTGCAGTTATGCAAAGTTTTGCTGAAACGCTCTAATAATGATTTCAGTAATCTATTACTTCCTACGTCAAATAAGAAATTGAAATGAATTTCATGCTTCCTTTTTACTCAGCAGATGAGCAAAGGCCTGCATAAGAGATCACTTAAACAAATAAAATGGTATGAAAACTTGTTTGGTGTAAAAAATATTCTTCAAATAAGTTAAGATGATAAGGAAGACATCAACAGTGAGGAGTGCACATAGGATTGCGAAGAACATAATACTGACAGAAGGTGAATATTTTAATTCCTATCAGGGCAGTATATATGAGGCTCAATACCTTTTTTTAAATCTATGACTCCGCTTTTTCTGTAAAAACCTAAGATTTAGGTGATTTGCAAAAAAAGGAATACATATCATTTCCAATGAGTTTTCTGTATCAGAATAATTGGTAACCATTCGATCTTCGGTAAGAGCATATTGAAAAAAACCGAAGTGGGTTCTTGGTCAAGTGAAATATTCTTCTTGAACTTATCTAGAAAGAACTGCCACGCGACCAGTATACGCAACTACGTGTAGCAAGCAACAATATGTAAAAGAATTATGATGCGAAGATTGACTTTAAGGTTGTCATAAATATTAACAGGCTACAAAACCTTGCTCCAATTATTACTGACAGAAATGTATATATCAACTGTATAGTTTGTCGGCTTAAAGAGACTAGATGATGTCAGTTTAAAACGTTTACTTAGGGTTGATCATATAACTTGGATGCCTGGTTTCTTTTCTTGTGGTGTAATTTTTTTCTTTTCATCTGCAAATCAAAATAGTTATTAGAGTGCAGACATGAATTCTCAGAACTTTCAGATCCTTCTAAGCAGTAAGAAATGAATATTAGTAGAATACAGCAGGTGGTGAAGATGCCCAGAGGTCTTTATCAGGTTTCAGATTGGCTAATTAGAACAAGTTTATCCTTTAGGTCTCATCGGGTATTTCTGATGATATTATATCGAGAAATTATATTTTCAAATAGTCCCATCTACAGCAGAAAATTTAATGAAAAGATTACAACAGCTTTAATCCCTAAGGCAAACTATTCCACCCACTGTGTTCATGAAGTACGTAAAATGTGTCCCTTTTCTCAGAATAATGGTGATCTCTATCATTGATGATTTCGGCCGTGGTATCAACATTCTGTGTTATTTACTTAAATTTATTGGTGTCCAAGTATACTTACAGTAGAAAGTCTTGATGCATACTTCTACTTTCACTGGTTTATTTATTTCTTAGCAACAAATTTGTTTATTTTTCTAGCAAGCAGAAAGTATCAACATATTTTCTGCTTCAATGCAAAGCGGATAAACTGTTGTTCAACACTTATCTGAATTCTTTTTATCCATGTTGTCAGCAGGTAACGATGGATCTGTGTTCACATATTAGTAGCGTTTAAGAACCAAAAGTGATATATATATATATATATATATCTGATTGTCTGAATTAACAACCTATGGACAGTTTAACTGAAGGTGCAGGGTACTTGTGCATTACCATAAAATATTATGACAAATCATATGGTGCAGTGACTTCACTCAGTATGTTTTAATCATTCACCTTTCTTGTATCAATATTATGCAAGTTATCTAAGTGAAAAAATTCCGTGAAGCTTTCAATTTAGCTCTGATTTTCAAAGTATTTGTAGACAGAACTTGTCTACTCTAACACTTATGTTGCTTACGATGAGGACAACTGTATGAAAACATAACTGTTCACTTTGATGCAGTTAATACTCTCTGCAAACTATACATAATAAATACTTTGCATCTCTGGGATCCGAATTGGTCAACTATAAAACACGGTCTGCATTATCGTTGAATTCTTTTGTCCTGCCTCTTATTGCATGATGACATTCATTTACCACATCTAGTAATAAACCAGGCTTAATATATAGTTTTGAGAAGTATTATTCATTGGTATTTCAGTCTATACTTGCATACAGTCAATTAGTTGTTTAGCCAGAACGATTAGGTCTTCAGTCCCCCTTGTCACTAACTTCCAGTGTGAGTGTTTCACACCACATTGATTTAATTTATGTTTCGTGATTGCCTTCAATAAGATGTAGGTGTGTAGGTAAAATTTTAATTGAGTTCGATTATACCTGTTGGACATATTATACAAGAACTTTTTTGTTTTGCTAATAGCTCCTTGACAAGGGACTAATCTCAGATATGTCGGCATTAAACTTGTCCCTGCTAAGATATGAGTGAATTTCATCATTATAGTCATAATTATAGATGACTGCAAAACGGAATACTATTAATTGACCTGTGACATACAGTTCCGTAGTGTAGTTTTAAACATTAGTTAAAGATTATGAAAATAGATACTAATGGCAAGTAAATACTTTTAAAGCTAGAGGGATATTTGATTCTACCTTGAAAAACCTAGACGTCGACAGTTTTTATAACCAATTTGTCCATAAACATTTTAGTTTAGCGATTACCAGCAACCCAGAATCTGATTAAATTTCGCAGCAGTTCAACTTGACACAGCTCATATCAGTACATCTAAGGGAAAGTTGAAAAAAGGAAAGACAAGAAAATGAAGAAAACACCTGCAGCCATTATATTCATAATCAGACAAAAAAATGAAATAAAAGTGATAAAAATATATTTAAAATCACCATCTTGATGCAGATATGGCATTGATTTAGCAGTGTACTAGCAATCATTTTCTAGCAGCAGGACTTCAAGTCTCCAACCTTTAATCTTATAAACCTTGCTGATAATTTTGTATCTTAATTTCGGTTTCATTTAACTGACAAGAAATATTTTCAAACGGAAACCACTAGCAGATAGTGTTACACGTTGAAGTAATATTGAATAGATGCAGTAAATGACGAATGCACCAGTCATTTCTACAACATAGTCAGTCGTCTTGTTACATTTCCTTATTATTCTACTCTTACTCTTGGATTGTGTAGTCGAGATTGGTCAAAAGTAAGTAAGTGGCCTTTACAATATCTTAAACACTGATTACTAGTTATCAAAGAGTTCTCTGCTGCGCAGTATACTTGATCAGTAGTAGGTACTAATTTCTTCAAACAACAGACTGAATCTAATGAATATAAGCTCATCTTGTATTGCGAAGGGATTTTAGTTCGCAACTTACTCGTATTAAATTGACAAAAAAAGAT